GAGGGCTTGGTGGCACAGGGCTATCAGGGATGTGCTTGCAGCATCTGGGACCAGATGTGGCCAGCTGGGTGCCTCTGCTTTGCGGAGGTGGGTCCCATAACCTCCTCTGAGCTAAGGCACATATTTATACAGCCCTACCAGAAAAGGCAGGGTGGAACACGCTAATATATACACATTAAAGAGACTGAATAAATAAACAGTAGGTTTTGATTTATTTTCTCTGCTACTTGGATATCTTAGTTTTGGCACAAGATAGATTTCATACACAAATGTGGTCTCCAGGTAGGTTCTTGTCCTGACTGATCAGAAACCACGTGCAAAGGAGAAAAACTTAGCAAATGTTCTCAGAGCCAAATGATATTTATGCTGTTTATTGCCAAAGTACATAAAATCCTTGGCCCATATCAGCAAGGTAATATACAACAGGTAACAACTGTTCTCTTCCCTAAAGGATTTGCAGTTACAGATGAGAGATAACAGTGGGTACAGTCAGACAGGGAAAGCACATAAAATGTGATGAGTCAGTCTGAGACTTACTAAATGCTGTACACTTAATGAGCACTGTTCAGACTCACCTGGGAGAGCACAGGGTTTGGTGGGGCGAAACTGGTTGCGGAAAACGCAGCATACGCCCAGGACGCTGGGGTAAAGGTGGTGGGAGAGTGCACTAGAGAAATGTCATGTGTGAAAAATGTTCTGGTCACAGAGAGTTGTAAAGGAGTTGTAAGTTTTATTGTGTGACTTGTACCCAGATCAGGTTCAGGTGGAATACATGTAACTGTGCAATCAAAATAGTCATGGGAAGCCTGTTAAGAAAGGCTGCAGGACTTACTGCTTCTTCTGTCTTCAAGCCCCAAACTGCTTACCTCCTCCCACAGTACTGAGCAAAGTCTTGAGGAATTACACTGGCTGTGAATAGCCATAACATTTCCGAAAACAGTGACAATGCTGGATTGTGCTGCCTGGCTCATTTCCTGCCACCCAGTCCCACTAAGGTGAACTAAACAGAGAAAAACTGTTATTTCTCTTGTAATTTATCTTGCAATTTATTTTTCTTTCCTTATTTCTACTAGGTTAAACACCTGATGCTTTAAAAGTGTATACATGTAAATAACTCATGATGCCCTGTGGCCCCTCCCTGCCCTGGAGAAGCTGCAGCCAGTGATGCTGCAGGAGAGTGGAGGTTGCCAGGCACTTCGAGCAGTACAAACTAGAGTGATGCCAAGAGAGCTGGAAATCAGGGAACGTGCCAACCACAAATATTAATCTCTGAGTTAATAAAAGCCTGCATGGTTTGAGGTTTGCGAAGCAATAAATGAGTTCAAATTTGCCAGTGACTGAAAAACAAAAGCAATTAGGTGTTAAGGGGAAACCTTCTAATGGAAATAAAGATAATACACTAGAATATGCAATGAGTTGAAAAATGTGATGAGAAATTAATCTTTACTTGAAAAATACTAAAGGAATTTTTATGAAGAACATAGGAATGTATGTATCAAAGCAGACCTTTTAACTCTTTTTACTAATAGGGAACAGCAGAATAAGAGCTTCTGTTTAATAGCACTAATAACTTCATAATATTTTTTTTGAGTCATATGGTAGGCTCTTTTTACCAGTCAATACTTCTTTCAGAAAAAAAAATCTCCTTGGCTTCTCTTCATCATAGTCATTTCTAGGTCTGTATGACCTAGAAAGCTATTTCTGCTTATGTGTTTTACCCCTTTTTTTCCACCAAAATCCAGGTGGAACAGTACCAATTTCAATCTCCCTGCCTTCCTATGACTCTACTGGGGACACTGCTAGCAAGTTTGCAAGGCAGTTTGCAAGCAGTTGTGAGCAAAAGTGAGCCTAAGGGAATACCTCAGGGTGATCCAAATGGAAACTGGGGGAGTCCTCATCAATGTGTTGTCAGATGTCTCAAATGGTCACAATTTTAATGACATCAGAGGAGGTTTTTCTGATTTTAAAATGATGCATCCTGCTCAAAAGGGAAGGAATAGGCCAAAATAAAGACCTATATAGATGGGGATTTGTCAAGCTGATAGCAATGGGTAGTTCAGCTGTTTGTAAAAGGGGTAATTAATTAGGGAAATTCAGTGAAAAGATATCGGCCAGTACCATTCATCACCACCCAGTGACATTTCCTCGAGGTACAAAGAAAATCCTAGCAGTGATTTAGGTTGGATGTTGGACGATGACAATTACAATTCAGTGACCAAAAAAGCTGAAATTATTCAGTAATTTTTTCTGTTCTTTGTTTGGAAAATGGACAAAACAAAGTCCTCACATTTAACTGGAGGTATTTTTGTCCTCCACAGGTAACCAGAGTGAATGAAAACCACTGCCCATCTTTAAAATTGCATGCAAAAGTATTTTAAAAGTTGCCTAAGATCACCAAACCTTTAGTACTGATTTATCCACAAATACTATATCACTGAATTTCAAGAGAATCAGAGGAAGTAACTGCTGAGTCATTATATAAAAACCAGTAACTGATGTGTCCTGGGTAAGCAGGGACAGAGGCTTGGCCAGGCTGACACTAGCCTTTGGCAAGAGCGATGAGGAGGTCAATGAAGTGTGCAATCAACAGAAAATTGAACTGTGACAGTACTAGAGTTAGCACATTAACAGAAAATAGATGTTTGAAATTTTTTTTTTTTGAGTAGAAGAAGGGGACCATTTTGATTTGAGTCACAGCAGTTCAGTATTATGCCTGATCTGTGGGTGGCTGCTAAAAGGGACAGTTTTGTTTCTCATTTTCTTTTCCTCTCATTCCCTTAAACAGTGGTTACATGCCTGCCCAGTGAATCAGTTCTCCGTGGGCCAACAGAAAAATATGTATTTTCTTTTCTTTTTATTATTGTCACAATTTCCTGCTGGATCCCTGTGCTGGGCTGACTCACCCCTGAGCTGTGGGATCACTGGAGTTGACACAGGAAGCCGATAGTGTTGCTGGGGACCTGATGCTCTGCCAGGTGGATGTAACCCCTGTTCAGTCACTGCTGGGGTTGGATTCAATGAGATGTAACAGTCAATGGCTCCCTTCATCTGCAGTGGAGAACTACTGGAAAAAAATAGCAATGTGTGCAAATAAATATAATAATGGCCAGTCTTCGCGAACGAAGATCCGGGGAAGGTCTTTACACCTTCCAGCCTGCGCATTGGATTTTTTAGGTGAGACACAGTGTGCGCGGAACTGAGCCCACCCTTTAATCCTAAGGTTCATCTGCCGGGGCCAAGCGAGCTTGGACGGTGGCAGCGAGGTCCTTAGGACGTAGATGGGTTGCCTTTATAAGGGCTAACGAGCTCCATCAGCCCGGGAGTGGCCTTGACCGGGAATCGAACCTGGGTCTCGGCAGTGACAGCGCCGTGCCCTTACCACTAGACCACCAGGGGCTCCTGCAAATAAATATAGACCCTACCTATTGTGGTTTACAGATCCCCTAAATTATTTATGGTGCTCTTCAAAATATTTAACTGATGCATCTGAAAACTTAAGCCGTCTGAGGGCATGTTTAGTGAAGTCACACAGTCTTGCCCTTACAATAGTGATTATCTTTATAAGTTACCTGAAAGTAGTAAAGAGAATTTCTGACACAGTGGTTGTAGAGGTGTGTGAGTTGGTGGGACAACGAAGGAGTGGACTGTTGGCCACGCCACCCCCATTGGCTTTGTTGGCTGAGCACTTCTCAGCTATGCAAATTTTTTAAATTTAAACCCTGGCTTCTAGGCACTGAGAGCAAAGTGCACATAGGTCCCAGCTGAGCACGCTGTGGAGCACAGTGACACAGGAGAGGTAAACAGCTGGCAGCTGAGCGCTGGGCACATTCCTTTGGACACTGCTACGTTTCCAGAGAAGTGTCTCATTAGTGGATGGCAAAAGCAGTTGACAGAAGCACAGATGGGTTATGAAAAGCAGGTGTAGATTGGACAATAGGAAAGACCCCTTGGCACTTCCGTCAGACTAAGGGGAAGAGGAGCTGAGTGACCCACTGGCTTTTTTAACCTGGGGTGACTGGGTCATGTCCCACAGCTGAGCTGGTGTCTGATGTGTCTATGGGGCGATGGAGCCCCTTGGCAGGTGGTGCCTCTTCCCAGGATGCTCATTCCTTACAGGGCTTTCCATGAGCTGATCCCACCCTCTGTCACCACAACATATGTAGTGTTACATATGTAGTGGTCACATTTATTACACAGTGTCCTGCTCCTCTGGCACCTTGGCTGGCTGTCAATCCCACTATGGTGAAAATGTCTGTGTTGAGTGGAGCACATTCCTCCAACAGCAGCTGTAACGGTTTTGGCCCGGTGCAGTTCCCCCATCCCATGGCAACGTAAGACTTAGAGGTAACCCTGAAGGGCAACAGGAGGAGCTGGCCCTGACTGCACAGGGATATCTTCCCTGCAGTTTTTAGGGGCAACATCCAGCCCCCAGTGCCTGTAGGACACCCCATGGCTGGCACACATGACCTGGGGGACCCCCAAGTGCCTCTGCTCCCACCCTGGGGTGAGGCCCTGCAACACAACACCCACTGCCATCCCCGGCTGAGACCTCCAGCATTGTCCTACTGATGCCCAACAGGACCCCCACCCCTGGCCCCACTGCCTCAGAGACCCCGTGTCCTGCCCCACAGAGCTCCCCACAGCTGTCCCCCCATAGACCTCTCCCTCCATGGCCATGTCTCCCATAGCCAAGTCCCCATATCCATGTCCCCATATCCATGTCCCCCGATATCCAAGTCCCCACATCCCTAACCCCTGCCCCCATCGCCTCCCCGCCCCCTCCCAGGCTCCGCCCCTCCCCCTTCAGGCCCCGCCTTTTCCGGCGCGGGGCGGGGTCGGCGCGTGCCACTCACCGTCACTTCCGCGCGCGCCCTGCGCCGCCCGGTCCCGCCCAGCGCGGCCGGCGCGTGCAGCCGGTTGGCGGTGGATCCGCGCGCGCCCCGCGAGGCAGCGGCACCGCGCGCGGCGGGCGGGGTGGGGGGGGGAGCGCCGGTCCCGCGCCGGTCCCGCGCCCGCCCCGCCGGCGATGGGGCTGCGCTGAGGCCACCGGTGAGTGGGGGTCGCGGGCACGGCCCAGCAGGTGAGGGAGGGTCCGCGGGGCCTCCGGCGGCGCCTGCGGTTCCCGCCGAGTCTCGGCGGGGCCGCTGCCGGGTCGCGAGTCCCGAGGCCAGGTCAGCCCCGCCGCCCAGAGGTCGGAGGAGGCGCGGGACCGGAGCGGGGGCGCGGGCACCCGGCGAATCCCGGACACGTGCGCGCCGGCCCGGCCCCCCCGCGCCGCCCCAGGGCCGCCCCGGGCTTTGGGGCTCCCTCGGGGGGTCTCCAGCGCTCGGGCAGCGCTCACGTGGCTCTCCCTCCGTGCCCTTAGCCCGGCTCCCGGCGGGGCCTGCGGTCCCGGCCACCGAGCGCGTTCCGCTGGCCGGGCACACGTCAGCGTGTGCTGCAGTGCCGGGGCCGGTGCGGAATGTCGGTGCTCCTGCACCACAGAGAAACTTTCCCAGCCCAGTATGAGGACGCAGTGTGTCTCGTCCTTTTTTCAGCACATGAGTTAGTGCTTTCTGCTGCCGCTGACAAATGTTACCGGGTGCTTTTCTATCAGCTGAGCTCTGGAGACGGGGATCTCGCACTCCGAGCACCTCTGACAACCACTGCGTCATGCCAAAGAGGAAGCCTGTTTATGCTTGTTCAGGGGTAAACAGCTGTCGGGTGAATTAAACACTGAGAATTGAAACGGAATTGGTACTTAAGGTGAAGAAGAACTTGATGAGTATCTGCAGTATTGGCTCTAAAAGCTTGCTGCTACCACCAGTGCTCTGGCTTGCCTGCTGGGATCAGTGTGTCCCTGCAGGTGCTGTGGTTGGAAGACAGTTTTGGAGCCCTTCAAGAAGCTGAGATAACACAGCCTCCAGCAGTGGGAGATGGTGAACTCCAAAGTGTTCTAACATGAGCACTGAGGGTTGTCTGGCCATGCTGGTTGGCTGCTTCCTCTTTGTTTGACGTTGCTGGGAGTTTTATTCCAGCTTTAGAGTTTGTTAATGTGTTTTTTTTGCAGTATGCACTCATTAGGACTGTATTGGTATTTTCGTAGTAAGGGCAATCAAGGTTACGTTTCATTTAGCCTATTCATTACCCTGACTCTTATTTTTTTTTATTGTAGGTGACTCAGACGTTTTATATATGGGATTTGTCCACACACTGGCTCTTCAGACAGGTTAGCGATGTTTTTATGCCATCAGTGCCATTGTGTCTGAAATAATTGCTACTTTTAGCTTTTCTTAAAGTAAAACTGATTTTTGTACTACACTGTTATGTCCTGTAGAATATTGATTTTCTTGAACCTGTGAAGAAACAGCGCTTTTTTTGGCATTATTTAAATTTACTCTGTGGTGTAAGTCAGACCCTCATAAACTTAATTTACGTGTGACAGCATCATGGGTGACAGCAATAGGTCTTTACTGCACATACAGTGAGGGATGTTTCTTTTGGTATGTGGCATGACAGTGACGGCTACATACTGCTACTCTTGTAAGCTGCTTTTTCTTGTTCCTCATTACAAGTACAATTTTGCAAAGTATAAAGAAAATATAGTGCGTAAACTTTGAACTCAGCGTGGAGTGGTCCAGTGTGAGCACCGAGGTCAGCAGAGAAAAACTGATGTTCTCCAAGGTTATCAGCTTGTAAAGTGCTTCAGAAAATGAGTAAGAGAGATGTTGTTAACTTTGGTTTTGGCCAAATCTGGCTGACTGTGATACAGGGAGGCAAAAACAGTGAAAGGTTTCTGAGCAGTTCTGCAGGCTCTTCTTTCCAGCAGAGGTGCTGGACAGCAGCTGCCACCTTCCTGAATACCTCCCAGGACCAGCGGTGCCTCCAGTGCTGCTTTCTAGACTTTGAGCTCATTATGCTCTCAGCCCTTAATTTTTTTGTTGGTTGTCTTCTAGAATCAAGTGTCTGTTCCTGTATTTCATTTGTTTCTGCTCTGGGGAGGACTTCATGACTTGGGCAGGCAATAATTCATCCCTAACGTGGAGATAGAGGGACGAAAGGTCCTTACTGCCTTGCAGTGCCTGGCAAGGAAGTGTGGGGGCTGCTGAGCAGGAAGGGAAATTGCATCATGATGGCTGAATGATTGAGAAACTTTATGATTCAGTCCTGTTCTACTAGTGTGCCATGTGACAGGCATGGTGCATCAGACAAGCTATTTTGCTGTGGTCCTAATAAATTATTTTAAAAAACAAATTAAAAAAATCCCCAACTATTGATGTGGAACTCTCAGATTAGTTTTTCTTATTTACCTTGAGAAGGTAGTATCCTCACTGTCCTTATGTGATATATAAAGCAGTCAAGAAGACACAGATTTTCAGTCATAAGGAGACAAATTCCATTTGTTCCGTGCGAATAAAATACCTTTTTATTGTTAATGCCAAGTCCAAGTGGGTTGCCCGGGTCATAGAGGAAATCTGACACAGAAAGGTTAGGTTTTCCTCAAGCATTTTGACCATTGCACCCTTGTTTCTTTTTCTGGGAAGTTTCAGATACTGTTTGCTTTATTTCTGTAAACAACAGAAATCTGCAACAAGGGATTACTTTGACTCAGCTTGTCCGAGGTCTGTTGTAGAAATTATTACTTCTGGTGTGATAAATGTCTGAGTTTAGTGCTGTGCAGGCCAGGGAGAACAGTTGTAACACTTTCCTTGTTTAATGTCTGTGTGGTATGAACCTGATGGTAGCTGGCATGGAGAGAAGAGATTTCATTCCTTTATTGCCTTGTGAAACAAAGTCCTTTAGTTAATTATTCTAATACTTTGAGTTTTGGAAAGTAGCAAAAAGCGATTTCCTTAGATTTAATTTTCTCAGTGCCCAAACAAAATCAGTGTAATATGAAAGTGCTTGTGCAGCATGTGTTTAGACTCACCTTTCAAATGTCTGCAAGAATTGCATTGGAGAACAGAGCTTATATTTAAGTGCATGTTCTTTTGGGCAGGGATTACTGGTCTTCACAACGTGGCATCTAGTATGGTCAAACCTGCTTTGGGTCTGGATTTGTGCTGTTGTGCAGATGAGTAGGTTTTGTGTACTTTCAGTGTTTAAAAAACCCCAACATTCTGACTAGTGCTTGGGTCTAATTATGTTTAGCATGTGAGAGTTTATACAAAACAAATCCTAGTCCAAAAATCCTAATGTCACAATTAAGCATTGACAAGAAATGTTTTAAGTAACAGTAATGCTAAAATATTTCCCTTTCACTGTTACACAATGAGCTAAAAATAGTTTTCATTCATAAAAAAGCTGCTTCCTTAGTTAAATAATCTGTGTAGCATAGAACATTTTGTAGTAAACTGTGGTTGTATTATAGCTCCAAGTCTGACACCTTTATTTCTGACTGAAATAAGACTGTAAACTTTAATCTCTGGTTGCTGAAAGGCAGGCTTAAATAAAAAAGGATAAGTGATTCACAGTTTCTGTTCAGGAGTTATGGATATGTCTACACAAGAAGCTGAAGTGCTGTATCTTGCTACTCCTTTTCTAAAATGTACAACTTCAGCACCATCTTCATAGAGCTCTGTGTGTGGGTTGAGATTGGGAAGGGGTCCTTTAGACTGTGGAATCTAACAGTGTGCTCTGAAGTGGTGCAGTGTCAATGGCATTTGTAATCCTATCAGTCTGACCAGAATTAGCTTCATTTTGCATTTGTTCTGTATTTACGTTGTGCTTTTCATTTGAAAGAATTTAGCGGTTTTTCTTTTTTTGTGGTTCTGGTTTATTAGAATTGTGGCGTTGCATCCTTCATCTTAAAGCAGCTCTTTGGAAGAGGACTAGGTACTGGAACTGATAGCAAGTCCATTACTTTTTAGTTGGATTGAGATTTTTATGTGGTATTTAAGACTAAAAGGCCATCCTTCAAAATCAAAATACCCAACTCTTTATTTTTTGACCTTTAGCAAAGTTGTATGATAGTGATATTTTCAGTTTAGAGGGAACATACAGCAACAAAAATGGCAACTCCTTTGGATTTTATTCCAGCCGGAAGATGTCAAAATGAAAGGTGATAAATGGCAAGGCCTGTGAAATCAGAGCTCTTGATTCTTCTAAAGGGTGGGAGATAGAACAGTGAACTGGAAAGGATTTTGAGAAGAGAGAAAGTACCAACTTACATTATGAGCTTTTACTGACTTTGGATGCAAGATTGAAATATATGTAGGGTGTGAAAGTAAGTCACATTATGAAGAACCTGTATAAAAGTCTAGTAGAGGCAGATATTGCAAAGGCCAAAGTGCAAATGGAATGGCAACTAGTAAGAGCCATAAAAGCCTTTAGAAGTATGTTAATAGTAGGAAGAAGTTTGGGAAATGTCTCACTTGGGAGGGTATGCATCTCTAGAAGGTGCAGAACATTTGAAGTTCTTAGTGCCTGTTTTACTTGTCTTCTTTCACATAGTTTCATGCAGGTGCTTAATCTTATTAATACTTGTGTTAAGGTAGTATTTTACACTACAGTGGACTTCCCCTAGATGTTTCTGTGTCCTCTGGCCCTGATAAGATGCACTGTACAATTCTCAAAACAGTTAAAAAGTGTTGTTTAGAAATACTCAGAAGTACTAGAAGACTGGCAAAGGATGAGTTTTCAGACAGTTACAGTGGAAGAGAGATGAGGAAGAGGAGTTGAAATCTGACCGTTCTCTTTGTCTCAGTTTTTTCCATGAGTTGAGACTAATAAGCAAACATTCTATTTTCAAGTGCTTGGAAGATACAGTGGCATGAACTGATCTGTGGGAAAAGTAATTGCGTCCAAAGTCTCAGTGTCTTTTTACTGCAGAGCAGAAGCAGTGGAAGTTCTGTCTCCTGATTGATTGATTGATTTATTTAATAAGGTTTACCTCATTTTAATGGTCTCGTAAGTAAATGAAGGCATGATCTGGGGGTAGATGATCCTATTTGGAGAACTGTAATTAACGATTCGGTGTTAAAATGAGACGTTACATTGAAGGGTTCTGTTCTGGGCAGTTGCCTTTAATGAAAACATCAGTCAACTGGCTGATTAAATGTACTTATTAAATTCTCAGGGCCTATGTGTTGGAGGACATGATGAGAGTTCAAAATAACCTCAAAAATAGCGTGGCATTCAATAGGGAAATAGAGAGTACTGCACTCAGGCAGGAATTGCTAGCTGTGGAAATGCAGGGTGAGGAATAACTGGTTAGCTACTAGAAAAAGGACCTGGGGGTGTACTGGATCACAAGTTGAACATGATTCAGTGTCATGCTGTTTGCAGAAAAGGCAAATATCTTCCTGGGGTGTTTAAACAGGAGTATTGTCTGAGAGATGGAAAGTTTAAATCCGTTGGCTTTATTTGCTGTTGGTATACAGTCAGTTTGCAGACAGGATCTGTTTTGGGTGCCAAAATTCAAGAAGAATTTGGACCAATTGGAAAGAGTTCAGAGTAGAGAAATGAAGTGATCACAGTTTGAGGAAACAACTTCATAAGTGTGGAAGAAAATCCAGGTTATTTTGGCAAGAGATGAGGAGTTTAAGGGGAATGCAAGAGATTTCAAGTATTTAAAAGATTTGTAGGAAGGAAATGCTATTTTCAGTGACTGTGATGCACAGGTTGAAATGGGATTAAGTTTCATCATGGAAAACGTCAATTAAACTTAACATTTCTCACAGTAAAAATAGTACTTTAAGAAGTCTTTTACTGGTGGCCATGAAGAACAGGTTTGTATTGAGAAAGACTGCTATATGGTTTTAGGTTGGAGAATAGACTAAACTGACTATTGATGTCCCTTTTGTCTCATTATATAAGATTCTAGTTCTAGTTGATGTCAAGTTTGGGGCAAGGCGGGAGAAATACGCAGGATTCCTTTTGTTCATCTCTTGGTTGTACCATTTGAGTTTAGACCTTGTAGAGGTTTGAAAGGTTAGAATCACGTTGCTTGTATTGGTTTGGAAACATACGGTGTTCTGGGTGTTACTGTCTTCTCTTGGATGCTGCCTCCTGCCAACAGAGCAAGTTTTCTTGAGCCATCAGGATGTCCTACATCTCCATGGTGGAGGTACTGCGTGGTAGCAGTGTGCGTGTGAGTTAAGCATAGCAGAGCACTGATGAATTTCTATTCATTTAGTAGTTTTAGTAGCTTCAGATTACTGCTTTACACTCAGGTGATAATCCTATAATGCACAGTTACAGAGGTCCACCTTTGGCTTTGAAGATCTTTTTGAAGTTCACATGCTTTGATGTATTCACCAGTACAGGGACACTAAGTGAGGATGGACCCATTGCAAAGTGGAAAGTCCAACTGTGAGTATAGCCATGCTATTTTATATATTATTATTTTCATGCACTCTTACAATTGCTTTTGGTTGTCTGCAGTAGTCTGCATGACAAAACAAAGGATCCAGCTATTCCTTCTATTTCAGCAATTAATTTGCAAGAAAACTGGAGTGTGTGAAAACAAATTAATGCTGTGCATTTTCCTGTCATACCATGTCCTGACATGACTTCCCTGCATCATAACCTTGCTTTATTGCTAGAGGCACTTACTGAGCCTTAATATTGAATATTGAATATTGAAGACTTGTATTGTGGAAAGGAGTAATGATGTTAAGTCCAGTTTGGACAGCCAGACTTTAAATGCCAAGAGTGTATGGATGAAACAGCTTCTGCCTGTTTGTTGTTCTTTGGAGTTGTATTGCTGCAGTGGCTATCTAGTGCTTGGGTGAGATCGACCTGTGGTGAAGGGCATGTGTCTGGAGCAGAGGCAGATGTAATGTATCTGAGTGAACTGAAAAAATAGTGGAAATAGTGGAAAAAATAGTGGAAAACCACTATTGTGCAGTCTCTGTTGGTTGAAAGTCTACCTGGGCTCCTGACTTCTTAACTTTTGTTAGTTCACCTACAAATTTTAGTTTTTGTTTGCAGTATAAGTTGCAATTTTTGTGACCATTTCTTCTCCAACATAAATAACTTTGGTAATGAACAGGCAACGATGTAGGAACACATTTCACCACATGAATTGCATGGCTTTTGTAGGGGGAGAGCACAATGGAAAATAACTCATGGTCTTGTCAACCTGGCAGTCCTTACTCTGTAGCATGCAGATATAGGTATCCTTGTAGCACTCTTCCCTCTGCCATCCTTTCCTTTATCCAGCAACATCCCTTCCCCGGAGAGAGACAGGTTTTGTCAGTAGTGAGACTGTTGGCATAATTGAGGATAACACACTGAGCATGTGTTATGGAGGACTTTTATGCCTCAAGCTGGTATTGGGATGCTGGTAAGTGTTTGTAACACCAGTTCTTAGCCCATGGTCAATTCCGTAGTGACTATGTGTGTTAAATTACAGTTGTCCCTTTACTGGAGATTGCTGGTGCACATAACTCCGCTGGTGGAACAGGCCATAGAAGTCTTTGGCTCAGGTTTCAGCGTGAAGTATTTTGAATTCGCATAGTCTGTATCATGTTTGTGGAACAAACGTAGAGTACCTAATTTTTTTTCTACTTGCTGTTATCCTCTGATGGCATAAATGTCTGGGAAGAAATAGTACATTGAATGCCATAATTGTTTGTCCACCTGAAGTCGGGTAACACTTGCATGAGTGTTGATGGATGTGGTAGAAGAGTTCACACAGCCTGTAGTCAGACAGTTGTGCTGGTTTATTAAGGTACTGTCAAGAGAAAATGTATTGGGTTGAAAATATTTTGGTGTTCACCCTGAGAAAATACTTTTTGTTGACCTATTGCTAAATTGAAGTAGTTTACCTTTTGCAAAGCTCATTTTCCTTGGAGACTGTAATTTTTGGTTTTGTGGATGTTGAACTGTACTTGTGCAGTTCAGTTTACTAAATTCGTGGGGCAGTATTTTGTGGTGAATCATCGCTTGGTGTTTCACTCTATCCTCCCATCTTATCTTTGCTAGATTCCTGAAGTGTGTGTTTTTTATCTGTCCTTCCCTCTGTCAGAGAACATCTTTGTTCTTTGGATACTAATTTTGATTTAAGCTAGGTTAATATTTCTTAATTTTGAAAGTGTGGTAGTGAATCTACTGTATATGGCTATGAAAATGGGATTGATATCTATAACATCAACTTGAAAGTAAAAATTCGGTAACTTGTGTCTGATTAATTTCTTAATGTTCCATAGAAATAATGTAATATTTAGAGCTTCAGACTTTTTCAAAACCTTTTTGAATATTTTTCTTATATTCAGATTAAGTAGTTGCTTGGCAGTTTCCTCTTCTGAATGCTGTGGCCAAGGAGAAACTGAAGTGCATGTTCATACGATGAGTTGTGGTAGTGGTTGAGTCTTTCATGAGTTCTTTTGTTTTACCTTGAAAAATGAATGCATTTTTAAAAACTCTGTGAAGTCGTTGTTATGTTTGATGGGACTTGATGAGGAGGAATGTAGTACTGAAGTGATGGCCAGTTTAATTCCCTGGTGACTTATGAAAAGTCATTAAAAATGTTTGTTTTACATGTCTCATCTGGTGAGCCACCACTGTTTGTTCTTTAATGAAAATGTACTGGGTATGATGAGTGAGATCTCAGACCCCCAGGGTGTCTGAGATTGGGATGCAAGGTAATCTTGTACAACCCTCCTGCTCAAACACAAAATCATGTCCACATGAAGTGTACTTTTTTGTCGTATACATAATGGTATTTAATACTTCTATTCCATAGATGATTTTTTAAAAATCATCAGCACTTCATGTGACCAGCAGATTAACTAATGGTTTTTAACTAATTTTAATTAGCTACTTGTGTAGTGTACTATTTTCTCATTTATTTGTGGCATTAATGTATTATTTGTCCCATGGAAATCCTTATTGGGGATGAGATGTTGACAGATACTGATAAGACATTGAAAGGTACTGACAAGGATGATCAGAAGTATGGAATGACCTCTGGAAGGGAAGCTGTTAATTGTTTCTGCATGGAGGAGATTGAAGGCTGTGGGATAAAACAGTTTTATAAAAGAATTAGAGGTGTCAGGAAGGGAGTAAATGAAGCATGACTTTACTGTCCCTTCAAATACAAGACGTGGGAGGCTTCAGCTAAAACTGTTAGATTGAGGGTCAGAATCATTCTCCATGAGCTCCGGAGTTCTTTGCAGGATGTTGCCAAGGTTAAAACGTGCCCCAAAATGATTTTAAAAATCCCAAGAAAAATCCATTTACTATTAAATAAAATGTTAGGGTATTTAGCTCACGAAGCTCTTAACCTACAAGTCCCTGGGACTGGAGGGTGCGCACTGGGGATTATCATTATATGACTCTACCAGTGCTCTCTCCTTGACTGCTACTCTTGAGGATGCTGGGAAAGTGCACATTTGATCTGACCTTTCTGGAACATTGTTCTGTTGCTCTATTAACCTTCAACCTGGCTTTCTGTTCTTTGATACAAAGGGTATGGAGTAAAAGCTACTCGGGCATTTATTGCATGTGAAATATCATGGCAATCCTTAATGGTGCTTTAGGAAGGTAACCTCTGTTTTCAACCCAACATTTATGAAAAAAACAATGCTAAAGGGGGAAATCTGAGTAAAGCATCCGGAGCAGAGGGGTCTGAGAAGAGACTACTTCTGAATATTTGGCTAGACGGTGGTGATATTTCTGTTAGCGAGGTCAATGCTTGAGGAAAAAGCACTCCTTGATACATTTAATGTCCTTGAAACATTTGTCTTGCTTTTAAGAAAACTAAATTTCCTCCTTACAGCAGAGATGATGGATAACAGTTACATCTCTTAGTACTGTTATAAAAAATTGTATTGGCTAGGAAAGAAAGAAAAATTCTCAAAAAGGTATTTCAAATGCAGACATAAATAGTGTTCTAGACATGACATGTTGAGGGGGAATTTCTCCTTTAAGGTAAGCCTGCAGGATGAAAATTGACTATAAATGGAGTGACAAACAAAAGCTATTACTTACAGGAGAAACAAGACTTGAGACCTTTACTCACAGTCATCAGTGCTGAGAAGATTGCAGCAGTTGAAGGGAGATCCTGTGTCAGACTTTTGGAATCTGTTTCTGTTATACAGGAGATGTCTCCCACTGCTGATGCTGTGGAGGTCGTTCAGTTCCCAGGAGGCACAAAAGCACTGCAAAGTATCATTTAAGTGGAGCTATTTAAGGTAATGATGAAATGTATTGTATTAGGCTGTGGGGAGTTCATTTAATTTAATGGATTGAAGAAGCTCTTCTCTGAAATATAACTGTTTACTAAATCTTTAAAGCTCTTCTAGGTTTGTAGGACTGTTCTGAATGACTGGGATGTAGTAGCTGAATGGATGTGGGCCAGAGTTTACATTACAGGCATGGAGGCATTGAATTAAGGGTTACAGTCCTGTATGTCTGTTCTCTTCTTGTCTTTGTCAATCTTCTCTTTATGGAAAGAAAGTAACCCCTTGGTTTTCTCATGTTATCTCATGTGGTAGTTGTGAGAGTAAATTCATTATTTTTAGGAGCTAAGCTGTCAGGTTGTATAAATTCCTGTGCATAAGGAAATTGTTTTCTACAGCAGTCTAATCTCTGAATGAAATTGATTTGCAGATTTTTCTGTTACTTATTTCAGTCACTGTAAATTTGAGATCAAGGCAAATACATTGTAATATGTGACATCTTAAATTGTATTAAATTCTTTTAAATTCTTTTATTCAATCTTGTAACTTTTTTTTTTTTTGTGTTATATGATATTTAGAGCTTTAGCATTTTCTGTCATGTGTAGTATTTCTAGTGATTGATGGGTTGGTTGAACACAAGAACAATTCTTTCCTTATAGTGTTCCTGATCTAAGTAAAGTAAATGTGCAGCATACTTGAGAGTCTTTGTAAATTTATTATGACTATTTAAAAAAATGGTGCTTTCAGTAAACATTAGAAACCCCAGATTCAATGTATAGATTTTCTTACAGAACACATTTTTAGAAATGAGTACAATTTGGAGTTGCTTCTGTTATTTTAGAAGATACTCTTTGTGCATTTAGCAGTTACATAGTTGAACTTAAGGATCTTTGAGTTTTACACTGTGACTTCAGGAAACTAGAGAAATACTGCTGCTTTGTCTGAGAAGGCTTGGCTGAAAGCAGTGAAAGGTATTAAGTCATACTTAGGATGGGAAAGAAAGATGCTAAAGCCGATTGCTTGCTTATGATGAGTGAGACTGTGCTGTGGCCATAGCTGTGTGCAACTGTATGTGCCTCTGAGGAAACAAAAGTTAAATGTCTAAACTTTAAAGGAAAGTTCATCTCTTGTGATTAGTCTGGTTGTGCTTGATGATCTCCCTGAAGGAGAAGAAAAATTTATTCAAATGTTCTTACGTTAACCTTAAAAATATTTTCCAAGAATTTAGAGGAAGAGGAAAAAAAGTCATTGCCTCCTTTTATTGAGCATCCATACTACAAAAGCAAATATATCCCAGGAAGCAGATACTCTGCATTGCACAATAAGGTGGCAGCCACACAGGAAAGGTTGGGCTCCTGGCACAGCCCCTGAGGGGAAATGCTTCCTTGAAAGGACCCATTGTTGCTGGATCTGGGTCTTCAGACTCCCAGTTCTCTGATAGAATGGTTGTGGATTTCTTGGTGCTGGCATGGGGCATGTTTGCCATCTCCATTATCTAGCCATAATAGTGTTGGTTATTTAATCAGAAAGAAGGACTGAGTGAAGTTCACGCCTCGGGTGAGAAAGGAATGTTTTTTTGGAAGCAGCTTCAGTGCTCAGCTATTGAAAGTTCATGCTGGGTGTAATGGTGCCATGCCTTGCCCAAGGTATTTGAAACAGCTTAACTTTCTCTTCCAAGAAGAAATAAAACATTTCATTGTCTCAGTTGTCAGCCTGTGAATTCTAACCCAAATGTCTGGAATAGTCTTCCAAGAGAGAAAAGAAACAATAAGCATCCAAAATAAATGTATGCTTTGTTGGATTCCCTGACTGTGGGACAGGTCATCTTTCCCTCGTGGCAGCTAGGTAGGAGATCTGGAAACCTAAAAAGGAAACAAGGAAAGACTCTATTTCTGTGAGCTTACGAGTGGGAACAAGCTTTGGGCAATTTTGGCTTTTGGTGCTCGATTTATCAGTTTAAAATTTTCATTACGGTGAGTAACTACCACCTGAAGTCAGATAAATGAGATGCTGGAAAGGTTAGGTGGTAAAATTCTTGTCTAATTGTCCTTGACATGACCAACAGCTCTACTAAATTCTCTTCTAATATATCTTCAACTTGTGCATGTGCTGCTACATTAATAACACATTTCTAAGTGGTCTGAGAATAGTGATCTGTAGACTGGGAAGAAAGTAAGTTTTGAGTATAGTATTGGCTATAGTACTTTGTTATCAGGATGAATTGTGATACTGACTTTATTGTTAGATGTAGCATTATCTGTCCTTAATGTAGCATGTACTCTACTATAAACATTGCAAGTGCTATTACAGCCTGCAAAAAGTATACTTTACAAAGAATACACTCTACAAATGTAAATACAATTTTGGTTTGGTGATTGTTGGATACAATGGTCTTCCTTAAACCTAAACACAGAAACAAAAACTTGTATTATAACAGAAAGCCCAAGATGGGAAGTGATAAAATAGGTATTGAGTGGAGGGCTTTGTTAAAATTTAGCTCGTGTACTTGTAAAATTTCCATGTATTCATTAAACTATTATGTCATTCTTATTGTTAGAGCTTGGTTAGTTGACTAAAGTGTTAAGCTTTGTTTGTAGTACAAATTATAACCTTAACTCCTTTCAAAATACAGTTGGAGGATTTTTAATCTTCCATAGTTCCTTTAGTTTGTATGTCTTACCCAAGCATCTGTTGTACATTATGTGGATAGCTTTGTATTTAAGGGTTCAGCTGCAAGGTACTGGAGAATTGTAAACTACATCAGCTTCCATTCTTGTAAGGTGCATTTCTCAGGGTTAGGGTGCTTCTTAAGGAGAGTATCTTTTGTGTTTGTAATGTTAACCACATGCTTGTAAAAATACAGGTACATTCAAATAATACTGAAAGCTTTACAAATGCATTTAAACTACTCATGTAAGCTTAGTGCTAGTGCATGGTGAAGAAATATGATAACCTTTTGGTTTTCATGGCCACAAAAACGTGATAGCCCCAGACCTTTGGCTAAGTTGTATATCACTTGTAGAGGGTTGTGCTTCAGTTTCACGGTGTTTTTTAAGTGACATGGGTTTTACTTTTGGAAACAGGCAAAGAGACTCTCACATGTGGTGTCAGAATTGCCAGGTGGTGTGAGAAGTCTCTGGCATTGTGCTGCAACTCAGACATATGGATCTGTCTGAGTCCAGGATGTAGCACAAACCATGGCTGGTCCTGGGTACTAAGTGGAAGTTGTCACTGCAACAGTGGCAATTACCAGAGCAGCAAAAATGCTGAGTGCCGGCATACGTGTGTAGAGGAGCTCCTTGGAGACTGAGAATCCATAAAAAAGAACTTGGAAACTTGTTCCTTTGAGGAAGTCACGAGGCCAATGATGAATCCTGATAACACACTGTTTGGTGATGTCAAGATGTGCATTTTAGCAGGGCTTTCTTATAGCCTTCTAAATAGACTCCTAACTTTTTAATTGCAAGTCTATTAAAATTGGTCCTTTTTTCATGATGAGTGGCTGCAGGTTCTGCTCATCTGTTTCAAAAGCCACTAGTGGAGAAATTTTAGGAAATAGTACATTATTTTTATAGATAATGAAATACGATATCTTAGGATATAAAGGAGAAGGACTGGAAAGTAAATATGCGACTTATATCCAAGACACTGTGGGCAGAAATTTTGGTTTCATCTCTTGAAAGCTTGAAATGTGTTCAAAATTGCTTTTTGGTGATTGATTTTTAGCTTGTGCAGCATATTATATGCTATGTTTTGAGAAGAATGTACTTGTAAATATTTTTTAATCTTTGTTTTTTTTCTGATTCTTTCTTTTTCTTAGCCTTGTGTCCTTGTCAATTTATTTATTGTTACAGCATGTTTTAAATGAAGCCAGTGTTTTAGGTTCAGCTTTTCAGGTATTGTATGTGGAACTCATTGGCAGTTGGCATGGGCAGGAGCTGCAAGCTCAAGTAGCAATAGCTGATAAGACTTTTCCTTCTATTTTTATAACTCCACTTAAAAGTGCACTTTTTTTGGAGTATGTTCTCCAAAGCCATACCTAGAACTTTTTTCCTTGCCTGCTGGTAATTCTGACAGGATAAATATTAAAGACATATTGAATGTGGATGTATTGAATGCAACTTTACATGGGCAGTGCTGCCAAGTTTGTACAGACCAGGAGGTCTCATTAGCAAGATGGCAAAAGAGATCTCGGGTCAAGAGCAGATTTTTTTTATGTCTGAGAAATGTTTCCATGGTCTGGAGGAAAGGTGTTCTTAATCTTTCTGGAATAATTTTGAAGTTGTATTTTCATTGTTTTTTACTGCAGTATTTAGATAAGAGATACTGTGCTGTATATGCATATGGGCATATTATAGCATTCAAATTCGAAATACACTTAATGTTCAGAGCATTTTTTGGCTTTTGGCCTGAAGTACGAGTGCAGCTCTGTCTTCCAAAGCACCACCTCCATGGATGTTTCAAATGGCCCTGTGCAACACCTGGTGCATGACCCTTGTAAGGTGAAGTGGAAAGGTGGCTTCTGTGGCAGGACAAAAGAATACACTTGCCCTCTGTCAGTCACTTTGGAAAATGAACTGCCATCCTTTTCTGTTAATGGTCAACTATAGCCCAGGCTGAGTTTTCATCTTTCCCAAGAAGCTGGGTGTAGTTTGAAATGGAATATATTGTCAGAAGATATATTCATTCCTCTTCCTGGCCTGTTGTGGTACTTCTAGTTTGAGTATTTCTTCAGTTTTAATTTAATAACTTCCAATATGGCAGAGATTGAGCATTAGCTTGTGCTTTGTGCACATAAGGCAGTTCTCTTATCTCCATTTTAGGTCCATTGCTTGAATCCAGAAAACTTTTGCTGTAATGCTTGGAAAAATGGAGTGTTTGGTAACTGCTTTCAGTGTGCGGGAATTTCATGTAACTGGAACAAGAATAAGCCCCGGTGATAAACATTTGCCTTTGTAACCCTGTCAGGTTGATTCCTTATTGGCGTAAAGTGCAGAAATGTTTAATTTCTG